CCTACTGAATTCGCGCCTGCCATTAGATCACTATTGATTCGTTAAATGTTTAATGGTCGTTCATGCAACTGTTCCTAAGAAACCTAATGTTTGGGAGGGGTAGTGTAGAATTTCAGTGTTTTAACCCTTTAATAAAAACAATAATATTTTAATTTACAACACAAAAATCAAATTTTAACTTTCGTAACAGATTATAAAGATCTACAACAGGGTTTCCCAACCGGTGTGCCCCGAGGCCCATATTGGTGTGCCGCGAAATTTCACGACTATTAATAAACGTTTATGTAAAATTTCGGTAATTGGTTAAAATAGTTTTAACGATTCTCTTATCGGGGATATTGTTCATTTCTTATTAAATAATTTAAAATATTAGTCAGTTAGTCGTTTGTTGTCTGCTGTGATTAGTGTGATTGTAATGTTATTATAATGTATATAATGTATAATGTATCTTGTTTTTACATTTCAATGAATTAAATATTTAGGATAATTATAATAATATTTCTTCCTATCTTACCATTTTAAACTGATTGTTAGTAATATTATACTGATATACAACTACTTCGGCATTAATATTTAATATGACGAAAGTCTGGTATAAAAAAAAATATGTATAMATATTATATAAGTCAGTGACAAGTGTGCCGCGGCTAAATATGGGTTGGGATTAGGGTGCCGCGAGGGAAAAAGGTTGGGAAACGCTGATCTACAACATGTATTTGCATTAAAATCAAAGGCACCTACGTTAAAAATGTAAAAAATACATACGGATGGAAATAGTAAGTGTGGGTAGGTACCTCTAAAATACAATACATTATTCGTCAATAAGAATATTTTGGAATTATTGATCAATCTCGTAAACGTATAATACGTATATTATATAATAACTATAACTATAGGACATTTGATCAATAAAAACAAATATAAAATATGCGTTTAATAGTAAACAAACGCTAACGAGAAAAGCGAAGAAAATTCTCGAATAGTCTACATTTCTACATTGTCGTAGTCGTATGAACAGTGGTGAAAACTAAACAGTGTGTCACGGGCAACAATAATATTGTTATGGATGGTCCGCGTGCGTCCCGGTGGTCACAGCAGCGATTCGCGAAACGTACCGAACCTTCTAGAACGTTCGGTCCGGCTATATATACGAAAACGGCGCACTATCAGTCGTCAGTTTGAATTCGTGTTTCGTGAGCGTCGTCAGTGCGATTAATACAACGACATATTATTATTATCCATAATTTTTACAAGTGCGACACTCGGTGTTATACACTACATTATATTTCACTGTGCGTGTTTTAACAAATCTAAGAGTGAAAGAAAATCGTTATTGCGATCGAATCGTAGTACCGAAATATCAAAACTTGCATTCCGTTTTTTTGTTTCGAATATTAATTGTGCGCGAATAAAACGGACAATTTAGTCGAGATGACCGGACGAACAGCAATTGGTATCGATCTTGGCACCACATATTCTTGTGTGGGTGTCTGGCAACACGGCAAGGTGGAGATCATCGCCAACGATCAAGGGAACAGGACCACACCGAGTTATGTGGCGTTTACCGACACCGAACGGTTAATCGGCGACGCGGCCAAGAACCAGGTGGCAATGAATCCCGTCAACACGGTGTTCGACGCCAAACGTCTGATCGGCCGTCGTTACGATGACGATAAGACGCAAGCGGACATCAAGCACTGGCCGTTCAAAGTGATTAGCGACGGCGGCAAGCCCAAGATCCAAGTGGAATTCAAAGGCGAACGGAAAGTGTTCGCGCCGGAAGAAATCAGTTCGATGGTGTTGACCAGAATGAAGGAGATCGCTGAAGCCTACTTGGGCCGTAACGTGACCGAAGCTGTCATAACGGTGCCAGCGTACTTCAACGATTCGCAGAGACAGGCTACAAAGGATGCGGGCGCCATAGCAGGTTTGAACGTAATGCGCATTATCAACGAACCGACGGCCGCGGCGCTGGCTTACGGTCTGGACAAGAACCTGAAAGGTGAGAGGAACGTGTTGATATTCGACTTGGGCGGTGGCACGTTCGACGTGTCGATACTGCAGATCGACGAGGGTTCGATATTCGAAGTCAAGTCTACGGCGGGTGACACACACTTGGGCGGCGAGGACTTCGACAGCCGGCTGGTATCTCATTTGGCCGACGAGTTCAAGAGGAAAACCAAAAAGGACGTGCGCTCCAATCCTAGGTCGTTGAGACGGTTGAGGACGGCTGCCGAACGGGCCAAGCGAACGCTGTCGTCCAGCTCGGAAGCCACCATAGAGATCGACGCTCTGGTCGATGGTATCGATTTTTACACTCGGGTGTCTCGGGCCCGTTTCGAGGAACTGTGCTCCGATCTATTCCGGTCGACGTTGCAACCGGTGGAAAAGGCGTTGGCGGATGCCAAGTTGGACAAGGGAGACATACAGGACGTGGTGCTCGTGGGCGGCTCGACGAGGATCCCGAAGATCCAGGGGCTCCTACAAAACTTCTTCTGCGGCAAGCCACTCAACCTGTCCATCAATCCCGACGAGGCGGTAGCGTACGGCGCAGCGGTGCAGGCAGCCATCCTCAGCGGTGATACGAGTTCTGCAATTCAAGATGTGTTGCTCGTGGACGTCACCCCCCTGTCGCTCGGCATCGAAACCGCGGGCGGCGTGATGACCAAAATCATCGAACGCAACTCTACCATTCCGTGCAAACAAACGCAAACGTTCACTACGTACTCGGACAACCAACCGGCCGTCACCGTACAGGTGTTCGAAGGTGAAAGGGCCCTGACAAAAGACAACAATCTGCTGGGAACGTTTGACCTGACCGGCATACCTCCAGCGCCCAGAGGAGTGCCCAAGATCGAAGTGACTTTCGACATGGACGCCAACGGCATTTTGAACGTTTCGGCCAAGGACAACAGCTCTGGTCGCTCCAAGAACATTGTCATCAAAAACGACAAGGGCCGTTTGTCTCAAGCCGAAATCGATCGTATGCTCAGCGAGGCCGAACGTTATAAAGAGGAGGACGAACGTCAAAAAGCGAAGATCGCGGCCAAAAATCAGTTGGAGAGCTACGTGTTTGGTGTTAAACAGGCGTTGGAGGAGGCTGGTGACAAGTTGACCGAGTCTGAGAAGCAAACCGGCATAAAGGAATGCGAAACGGCTATCCAATGGTTGGATAGCAATCAGTTGGCTGAAAAAGACGAGTACGAGTTCAAGCTAAARGAAATCCAGAACAGCTGCTCAGCTCTGATGCTGAAGATACATGGCGCAGGAGGACAAGCCGGAGCAGCTAACATGCCTCCCGGTGCTAACGGTTTCCCTGGAGCCGGTGGCCGAGGACCTACCGTTGAAGAAGTCGATTAATTTCGTAATTATGTGACCTGGTAATTATTAATGGCATTTTCAACTCTATCCTATATTTTTTTCCTACTATATATTATAATGTTTTCACTATAGATTTAAGTTAGGATTTATTAGTTTATTGTACCTCATAATTATATTATTATGTTATCGGCAAAATAAATGTCAGTTTCTTATTAGAATACATTTTGTGTTTTTATTTTACCAGGTATTAATGCAATACTATACTGGTAATTGTTCTGTTTACACGTATTATAAAAAAAATTGTGTAGTAGTAAGTGTACCTACCTATTAGCTATTTGTAACAATTAACAATAATTACCTACAACTTATAAGAAAATAGTAATAAATAATTATACTTTTAAGCATAGGCGTGCRCACAGGGGCAGCAAGGTGTGCTCTTGCTGCTCCTGGACGGTTTGAATATATTTGTATGGGCCGAACTATTACTATATAATAATTACATAACATAATAATAAAGAATAATGTGTTATTGATATTTGATGTATTTTTAATTTTGATTTGGTATACCGGTGTTGAGCAAAAACAATCTATGATTAACCAATGATTAT